CATGTGATGATACATTCGTCTAATTAGTCTAGAGGAGAGAGAGAAGAAATTGAGTTAAAGCGAAAGGCTACACTTATTAAATTTTTTTATTTAAAAAGAGAAGCAACATTTAAAGTGTGTTTCAAAAAAGAGTATTTTTGCAATTCAGCCCAAGTAGCCCGTTTGTGATTAGCTTATTTTAAGTGTTTTTAAACCAAAATAACTTTTAAGCCATTTTATAGTATTTGAGTAGAACAAAAAGGCACTTTTAAACATTTGTTTTTAAGCTAAAATGACAGAAACGAGCCAAAAGCCAAAAGCCAAAAGTTAGAATTCATAACTTATGGCTTAAAAGCTATTTTGTCTTAAAAATCACTTGAAATAAGCCCGTCCAAACGGGCTAATAATCAATGTATTACTCGAATATCCTTTTTTAACCCACTTCACCAACTGTTCTTACCAAACCACACATGGTCATTTGTTGGACCCGCAGAATTGCGAATTACTTGTGTGTTTTGCCTTTATTTGTTCGTCGACAAAGTCTCCGGCAGTCCCCAAATCCCCAAATGTGGAAATTCAGAGAAAATTCAAAGTTGCCGCAAAAATATTTATACATAAATAAATATTTTTATATAATTTAAATTTAATAAGAATAAATTTTAACCACTCGGATAAATGACAAATGGATTACTATGCGAATGAATATACATAAAGTATAACTCCCCCTCCCCCCCCCCCCCTCTCTCTATCTATCGATATATCTATCTATCTATATATATACCTTTCAAGTCATGCGCTTACATTTAAATTTAAACAATTTATAGAGATGATAGATAACAGTTTTAAAAAAAATCACTTGGTACTTTTAGGACAAAATCTAAAAATATTTAGACAAAATCTAATAAGAAGTAAGTCAAATCAGATTTGATCAAATTTAATTTAAAGATATAAATCAATTAATATTGACTCTTATTTTCATATTAAATAGATTCCAAAACTTTTCAAAATAAAAATTTCTATTTTAGTAATTATTTACTAACAACATGATCAGTTTTCTTCCATTTCATAATATATAATTTTTTTAGAAAAATTATGTAGAAAAAAAATGATAGAAAAATTATGTTCCCACAATCGTCTCCCAACAAAACGCTACCTTCATCACATTGGTATGAATATAGACACCATCTGCTCAATTTGTAAAGGGGCGGAGGAAATCATTACTCACATCTTCTTTGAGTGCCCTATAGCACAAATATTTTGGAATAAGGTTCACCGCGACATTCTCCTATTAAATTTTAACGCCGCTCACTAGCTCACTACTCTTTAAAAAACTAACATCACCACTGATCATATGGGTATATCATGGCTAGAGTTCTTTCCATTTGTTATTTGGCACCTGTGGCTAAATAGAAATCATAACTCCTTCGACAATCTTTGGAACAAACTTTTCGTTAATACTGTTTTGACGCATTTTATGGAATATAAGTACTGTACCAAATCTACACGTCAAAATCCTCTAACTTCCGCTATCATAGTCAAGTGGTACCCCCTCACACCACTTCCTTGAAACTCAACATTTATGGAATTTTTAAAGAAAAATACAAAAAAGGTGGTATTGGTGGTATTTTTCGAAACCATTAGGGAGACTAGAAACTAGGATACTATGGCGCAACTTTTGGTCTCACACAAACTTATATGGAATTACTTGCTCTCAAATCTGGTTTACAACTTGCGTGTGACACAAATCTCCCAAGTTTGAAAATCGAAACGGATGCCACTGATATACTTTACCTAATTGATCAAAATAATTGTTCCATTTATGCTAACATTATTAATGAGTGTAGGTCATTATTGAAAAGACTGGGGAATCCGATGATCCGGCATAACTTCCGTGAAGGTAACAAAGGGGCTCATTTTTTGGCGATTGAAGGATCAAAGCAAGCAAGCATCAACTCCTTGATAATCTTGCACCAACCACCTACAAAGTTTTTGAAGCTACTCCGTGATGACATAATCGGCCCAACTACTACTAGACTTGTTTCCACAAATATACTAAATAGACAAGCAGAACTTGGGAATCCTAATGTTAGTTGTTCTACTAGTACAAGTAGCTATGATAGCCATAATATTGGCAACCCCCGGGGAATATCTTTTTTTTTAAACCCACGTTGCCAACTGTTCTTACCAAGCTACAAGTGGGCATTTGTCGGACTTGCAGAACTGCGAATTACTTGTGTGTTTTGCCTTTCTTTGTTCGTCAACGGAGTCTCCCGCAGTCCCCAAATTTGGAATTCAGAGACAATTCAAAGTTGTCGCAAAAATATTTATACATAAATAAATATATTCATATAATTAAAAATAAATAAATTTAATAAGAGCAAATTTTGACAATTCGGGTAAATGGCAAATGGATTACTATGCGAAAGAATACATAAAGTATAACTTCTCCCCC